AAATATCATGAATCAGATCACTTAAGTAACAGCACACCCTTTCTCAACAAGCCATGTCATATCAATAGTGCAAACAATAAGGGAAATGTAACATGTTTAGTATTAAGAGTCAGTGGTTTGTTCAAACATCTAACTCTAAAGTATGAGAAAACGTTAAACTGATGCTGATCAATATGCAACAGCGCAACGTGTGGTCTAATGTATTAAGTCAGATCTCACTAATCGGTCTTCAAGTGTCTTCTTTGGAAATAAAAGCTGACGACTTACTGATTTAATGGTTTTGGCTCCTACAGAGTCAATAAAGTTAACAGGAGTAAAGTCCAGTATGATGGTGTGAATGGGGGTTAGACGCTGGAGAAAGAAGTCATCCTCAGATTCAGACTCAGTGTTGCTCTCATTCATCTGGCCATTGGTATACACATGATCCATCTGCTTCTTCGGCCCAGCCACCACCTCACGAGTGACGCCTAGCTCCACATCCTGTTGTGGCACCACAGAACATGTCAGTCAGTCACATACTCAGAAATGTTTCATCACTAAGCCACCCCATTACATGAAAATATTTTACAGAAGAGAAGCTACAGTGTTTTGTTCTGAAATTTTGAGATTGTACAGTGTAATTTGCATAGCTCTGAAATAACATTTGGCTTGCAAACATAAATTTATTGATGCATCAAAAATCCCAACATGGGGAACCCATGTTGAGATTCAAATACTTTTGTAAAGGTCATAGGTCACAGATAAAATATATTTAGATGAAAAAGAAACATCATACCAATAAGACAACTGCATTTTTCTTCACTGAGGAGCAGTGGTTTACAGCCTTCCTCTCCCTGTTGTCTCTTTTTGCATATTTTAGCTGTGATTTCCTGCCAGTGAGCAGTTGTGCTGGGTCAATTCCAGTCTGTAGTCACAAAAATAAAGTGTATTGAACTTTATGAAGCCAAAGGCCTGCTGCTTATAGGAATCTCTCTACACAGTGCATGTTCAATAAATACTCAAGGACAGAACCATAAAACACACAATATTTTAAGTTAATAATAACTAAGCATTTGGTCTCACCTTTGCCTTGAGGGCGCTCACATACAGGTCACTGTTTGCAAAGTATATGGAAGTATTGGACTGAAAAATCTTAATCCCAGAGCATTCCTCAGCCTTGAGAAAGAGAACAAACGACTGATAAGAAGACAAAGATTGTGGTGGAAAAAAGGATGATGGATTAAATCAGGCCTAATTGGGTGCCTGTGACTAAGAAAAGCTTGAGAACAACACTTTTGGAATGAAGCAAGTTAAGGATCTAGGCTATTAATGGAAAAGTTAAGATGATTTAATGTATTTTAAAAGAAATGTCTTACCTCTTCATACTCATCCACATCAAAGTACAGTCCTGTCTCTGGGATTTGTCCAAGAAGAGCATTTTTAGGGCTTAAAATAAATAATAAGATATGAATTAGACATTTCCTTTGGCAAGTACGAAAGTAATAAAAATGTCAAAATAATCCAAATATAATCCAAACAATGCATTGAAACACAATATATTATGATTTCATTATATATATCTATAAATACTTCAATTAAATATTTAAATACAATTCTGATTTATTGTTCATAAAATACTAAATGATTTAAATTAATATTAAAAAAACAAAAACTGGAAAAGTTGATTGCTGAAATATTAAATAAATATGGAGCATAAGTGAAATATCAGGTTTCATGTTGATTTACTATATTTCAGCTGTCTTGCATTAATTGCCATTAGAGCAGTATGAATTAATGCATCATATAAATCTTATATGTAAACACAAACTACTTAACAGATACTTTACAAACTATTATCTATTTATTACACATTATTAATACATTTAATAAAATTAATGTATATTAATTTGTATATATGTATATAAGAAATAAATCATTTATTTTAATTCAATATCAAGATTTCATATTGAAAGACAAAAAAGGGTTTTCAAGCTGAATTTTGTTATCAGTTGGTATCAGAGCAGTAAGACATGGTGTTTTACCATTGTGTTCTGTAAATAACTGTGAGTATGGCAAAGCCCATGGCAACCACCAGACCATAATCCAGACCCAGAAGAACTGATGCAAAAAAGGACACCAGCCAGATCGCCTGAAGAAAACATGTCAGACATTATCAATAACAAAACCAAATTTCACCATGTCCCAAAAAAACAAAAAACAAACACATGAAATTTATTGACTGGTAAGTTTAAAAAGAGAAAAATGGTTCATTTAAAGAGATGGTAACCAGTAAAAACGATATTATGAACACAACCAAATTAAGTGCCTCTGACACTCACCAGTTCAATCTTGCTGGTTCTCCATAATGCAGGAATGTCTTTCAATTGCTTATACATCCCCAGGAGATTGACCATGATGATAGCAGCCAACACCGTCTAATGAGAGTACAAAGACGACACTAATAAACACCATCTGACCTCTGACCTTTGTACTAAGAATGCTTATGTTCTGCCAAGAGGGCTTTGGTAACAAATTAGGACTGTCCTACGCACTTCCAAAAAAAGACCAAAACATTTTAAACCATTTTTTATAATACATTTTTGCACAAAATCAATAAGCTCCATGGCAAGCATATCAGATAGCACTTCACTTACTGTTGGCAATGGCTGAAAGACAAATCCAATGGCCACTACCACCAGTAACACAAGTATGGACGCCAAGAGTCCTGCAATCTGCAGACACACACATCAACATAATTAAATTGAGTCTTTCAGGAGGCACGACTGTTTTAGCTTATCTTTATGCTTTTACGACAATGATACAGCCACTGAGATTATGTCATTATGAAAGGAACACTCCATTTCAGGAAATGCATTTTCGCAATCATCGACTGCATTCATGAGTACATTTCACAGATATGGCATCTTACACAAATATGTCACACTTACTTCAGTATGTCCTCCTGTGCTCTCCTGTACCAGGCTGCGAGACATTGAGGCGGTAACGACAAACGTGTGGAAGAATGAACTCATAAAGTTACAAAGTCCCAGTGCGATGAGCTCCTGCAGTCACATTAAACACAAAATGACTTCATTAGACCATGTGATTTTATGTCAGGATCATAAAAATATTAAAACTATTGTATAACTGCTGTGGCTTCGAAAACTTTAGTCCTTGTGTTTTGTAACTAGAAATAGTAGCTCACACAGTGTACAGCCCATTTTACATACTGTGCATAATATACACTACCATTTTTTTTTTATTAAAAAAAAAAAAAAATTAAGACTTTTTTATTCAGCAAGGATGCATTAAATTGATCAAAAAGCGATGGTAAATATATTTATAATGTTACCAAAAAAAAGTCTACTTCAAAAATAATAATATTACTATTCTACTACAAACAATTAAGCAGCACAACTGTTTTCAACATTGATAAGAAATGTTTCT